TTTTTTTGACGTCACATCGTACTTCAGCTTCTCATCAAACTTTCTGTCCAATCAAATGCTCTCTAGAATCCGAAGCCCCGCCCCCTACACTATAAAATAGACGCTGAAGCCGCTGCTGAAATCGGTCATTTGTCCACAGAATTTGTATTTTCTGTACAGTGAATGGCACGTAGTGCACTATATAGGGGACAGGGAACGATTCAAACAGTGCAAATATGCTTCTGTTTGAGGGGGGGAAAAGTCTGGTTTGGCGCTGTGTCACGCTAACCACCGCACCGCGCGCACACACTCTGCTCCAGTCCAGAGACACGATAGCACGGAGTGGATCACATGCACGGGTCGGCGCAGACCACAAAATGTATCGGAGCTATTTGAATTCTACACAGAATGCTATATTTTATAGCAATATGGATGAGATTGTGGCTGGCATACGGAGCTCAACGGCTCTGAACGGCTTTAGCCCAAGCTGTGATATAAACGAACGCTATTGGCTATTTTAAAAAGGGGCGGGGCTGCTTGATATGTCCCGCCCTGTCTTCCTGTTTCAGTTAAAATGACGTCAACACAGAGTAACGCTGCATGTTTCTAAGCATTTCAGGGGACCTTTAAACGCAGTGCATTATTAACATTTATATTTATACTGCGGGGCCGTTGAATGCTTGAATCTGATTGGCTGACTAACGTTCTGAGGTGTGCAATTACTTTCAGGGAAACGCACTGCAAACGTAGATCCAGGCAGCTCTTGACCGCATTACACGTGCATATCACTTCACCAAATGATTGGAGTGGTTTCAAAGGTCCTTACAGCCTACAACAGCAAAAGAACTAAAACCCACAACGACACACCGGCCAAACAAAAAAATATAATAAACAATAGGATAAAAATGACAGATAATTTCCGTGTTTTTTCCATAAAATTACATTTTATGTACGGAAAGCATATACTCTGTCTCTCCCACTCTCTCACTTACAGACACGCATACATACAGTTTGCACATATTTTAGCAGTAAGATAGTTTAGCAAACTACATGACTTCTCACACGCGAGGTAACAACAGCGCTGTTTGTGAGGTAACTTAAACTTTCCGAGGTGGGCATTGTTTTCTAAGAATTCAACAGCCCGTCATCAATTATTCCATACTCATGGATCAGGATTTAACTATTTGTGTCCTTCACAGACCCAAGAACTCCAAGCAGCCGGAGCGAGAGGAGAAGAGGGTTCTGGGTCTGGTTCTGCTCCGAGGAGAGAATCTGGTTTCTATGACTGTAGAAGGACCCCCTCCTAAAGACGTGAGTCTGCTCTGAGTCTGATGAATGGTTTGTTGTGAATGCAGAGAGTGATGTGCTGTTTCTGTGTGCTCAGACTGGCATCGCCCGCGTGCCGCTGGCAGGAGTTGCTGGGGGTCCGGGGGTCGGCAGAGCTGCGGGGCGAGGCGTTCCCGCCGGAGCTCCGATGGCACAGGCCCCCGCTGGACTCGCCGGCCCCGTGAGGGGAGTCGGGGGGCCATCACAGCAGGTACACAATTTACATGTAGAATTTTTAATTTATTTTTCCTACTTTTGTTCTCATTTTATGAGACGATTTAGTTTTCTGCTGTCAATTGTGGGCCATTGTTTCAGAGTTGTTTTAACTTGACTATTTAATGTAATTCTTGTTAAACGCACTAATGTGTTAATAAAAAAAATCTGTGAAATTTGGCAGTGCAATAAAATTATGCCACAACTGTTTGGATGAGCAATAAATACTTTATTTAAATTTTTTTTTAATCTTCTCCAGTAAGTATGGGTGCAGTATGTGCTGCAAAACATGAATATTTATTAATTTATCTATATACGGGTACATGATTAAAACCATTTTTTTCCCCCTAAAATATTTTACACGTTTACACTTTATACATTAACAAACATTAACATCTAATTGTGATGCAATTTGTTTGTTTTAATTTAAATGTATTTTTTTATGGGTTTTAGTTAATTATATTTTAGTTATTTGTCACCATTTTAGACTTCTAGTTAATGGTTTGATTATTTAATTTATATAATGTTTGTTTAAAATGGTTTTAATTTATATTTTTCATATTTTATCACTTAATCTTTATAACTTAATATAGTTATTATATATATATATATTGATTAATTATTATTATTTATTTATTTTTAATCAAGTGCATTCACTCAGGGACTTGTTTAGTAAGATTTTACCAGAAAATATTTTAGAATTTATCATTTGTAAAAAATCAAGTATAATTTGACTTCTGTATTGTTTTTTTTATTTTTTATCTTGGTCTTTATTTTATGTAATTCTTGTATTATTGTAACTCAGTTTATGCCAGGACTATAGCCTTACATGCTGACATGGCAATAAAAATAAATAACCATTACTATTGTTTTAATAATTTTATTACTATTCAGTTTATTTTTGTATTTGTCATTTTGTGCATTTGAAAGTAAACCGAACCGTTGCTCTCTTGTGTAAAACATGGTCTCTCTCTCCGTCTCAGGTCATGACCCCTCAGGGGCGAGGCACGGTTGCGGCCGTCGCTGTGGGGGCCAGTATAGCCGGAGCTCCCACGCAGTATCCTCCGGGCCGGGGTGGACCTCCTCCTCCGATGGGCAGAGGAGCGCCTCCTCCGGGTGAGTCTCTCTCTCTGCTGCTGTGTCTTTCTGATGGCTGTGCTGATTCGGCAGCTGTGATGACATCAATGTTTTCTGAGGCTGATGACGAATCTACTCGAGTGGTAGCAGGATTACACTGAGCTCAGAATCACATGGCTGTCATCATGTGACGTGATGGTTAAGCTTCACCCTCGTGCTCACGTCTCCCTCTGCCGCAGGTATGATGGGTCCTCCTCCAGGCATGCGGCCGCCAATGGGACCGCCGATGGGGATGCCGCCCGGCCGCGGCGCTCCGATGGGAATGCCGCCTCCTGGCATGAGGCCGCCACCTCCTGGACTGAGAGGCAAGTTATTTTGTTGTGCTTTTGTTGTTTTTAGTAGTTCTTATGTCTATATAGTAGGGCTGGGTAAAAAATATTGATATCTCGATTTTAATCGATTCTCGTTTTTACGGAACGATATTGATTCTTAAATCCCAAGAATCGGTTAGTCTAGCCTGTTTTCAGTTAGTGGACACAACATTGAAGGGCACCTCCCATTCAATAAATCGCAATAAGCATTGTGCTTTGGTACTTTTAATATGAAACCAAGTCTCAGATTTCAAATTCTGTCCATTGTATTGCAGTATTCAAACAATAAATGCCGTTTTGGCGCTGTTTAATGTGAACTGACAGATCGCTGTAGTGCCTCAGTGAACTGATCATCTCCTCCGCTTTATTACTAGTTTCAGCACAAAATAAACATGACTAAACATCCGAAGGTAAGTTAAAAGAAAGAGTACAACTTTACAATCCGTAGCCTGTCTCATGTAGTCGCTCAATCAAAGTGTTTCAGTTGCACAAAGACGTCAATATAACGGCTTGTAAACAATGTCACGTAACGTCACATTTACCTCAGAAACATTTGGTGACCATAAACTCATTAGTCAGATAGAAAAATAAACTGTAGAGAGGGGCATTTTGCTAAATATTTGATCTATATATATATATCAGTCTTTAATTTGTTTGACAGCCACCATTTAAATGTTTATTTAAAAACAAAAAAAATAATTGAAGTAGAAATATTGTTAATGTAACTTTTTTTTATTATAAAAACTTGTGTAATTTAAGCAGATGTATGGTCTTAACATTTAAAAAAAAAAAAAGTCAGTTTTAACTTTCAATATTATAGTAATGTAGTACCAACTGACTCATGTATGTATGTGTGTGTATGTATGTATATATATATATCCCCAAAATAATCGAATTAGGATTTGAATCGCAAGCTTGTGAATGAGAATCGAATTGTGAAAGTTTCAATTTTAGTTTTTTTTTTATTGTTTTTATATATATATATATATATCTCTCTCTCTCTCTCTCAAGTTAAAATAAGTGTTGCACTGGCAACTAGCTGAAGTTTTTATTTTTTTTTTATATATATATATATTTTATTTCTGTTCATATTTTATTTCACTATTGGGTGTTGATTTATGTCTTTAGATATTTTCCTTTGTGGGTTTAAAAAAAAAAAAAGTTTTTTTACATCTCTAGGAATTGAAAATCTGATCATTTAGGCCAGTGGTCAGCAGCCTTTTTTTTTTAAGCACAAGATCCCTGACCTTGTCCTTTATGAAAGACTAGGTCTACCTATTGAAGAATTTATTGAAAAAGACAGCCCAGATTGTACTTCCAATTTGAGACCTTTTATTTAGTATTTTAATTAGTGATGCGCCGATCATGGCTGTTTCAGATTTATCTTCTTTTTTTCAAATCCAGCAAATTGGCCGATTCTGGTTGCTGATTTTTATTTTTTAAGCAAATTTATTTATTGGATATTTGCTCTATAACAAGCAAACTGACCTTGAACAAAAATATCTGTAGACATTTGAAATTAGAGGCAACAACTGCGTTCTAACCACGATCCAAACAAAGATGCTACACACCTTGAACGAGCAGTTGTTTGAATTAGATTGCTTTAAATCCTGAAATGATACAAAAACAGAATGGTCTGACTTTAGCTTTGTAATATTATGCTACATAAAATATCTGCATGAAACAAAAACAGAAGACCGATCGAGACCGCTGATCTATAATAGAATCATCCGAGATTGAGACGCAGGTTCACTCTCTGACAGCAGATGGCGCTTATGGAACAGCCATGATATAAAAAGAAAATGCATTGCCATCTAAACTTTTCTCAAGACTGTCAGTTCCCTTCAGTGATGCGTTTAATATAACCCTACACCCCCAATTCAATATGTATATTTTCTTCCTATATGTCGACCATCGTGAGTGAGCTGCTCTCCTCTTTGCATCCGTCTTCAGCGTCTCTGGCCTCTGTTAACGTCATGTGTGACGTATTTTGCTTTATCACTGCCCCAGTAGATCCTGAACATCTCGGATCGGGATTTACTGGAACAGTGATAAAGATCTTCCAGTCAAACGCGATTGACGGGTTGGCTAAATGGATCTGGTTTAAATGCACATGCAAATAAGCAGCTTTTTTCTCTGTCTCTCTCTGTCTCTCTGTCTTGTCTTGTCTGATTTTGAATTAGAATTTGTCCTTTTGTGTTTCACCAGGTCCTCCTCCTCCAGGCATGCGTCCTCCCAGACCTTAAACCTCTGCGTGGGACTGAGATGAATGAAATGCATCTTTTCCTTGTATGGGAGAGTTTGACTGCAAGTTCTTGTATAGTTTGTTTTTTTGTATTTTGTCATTTCTTTCCTCCTTTTTAAAAAAAAATAAAATAAAGTGTCAAATTGACATTTATGTTTTAATGACTTCTGTGTTTTGTTTTCAGTTGATACCAATTAAACTAAATTAATGAGAGGTAGAGTTGAGTGTCATCAGCATAGCAGTGATATGAAAAGCCATGTTTCTGAATGACAGACCCTAGTGATGCCATGTAGACAGAGAAGAGAAGTGGTCCAAGAACTGAGCCCTGAGGCACCCCAGTAGCTAGATGTAGCGACTTGGACACCTCACCTCTCCAAGATACCTTGAAGGACCTATCTGAGAGATAAGACTCAAACCACTGGCGTGCGGTTCCTGAGATGCCATTTTCCAATATTTATTTTTTGTTTGTTTGTTTTAATCATATTTTGTGTTCAGAGACCCTTTAATGTACATATGCAGTCATCTGCAGTCTTAACTGACTTCATATAATTTTAATCGTATAATTTTGTGTTGAAATGACTTTGTTAAAGGGGTCATATGATGCTTTTTTAAAGATCATTATTTGGTGTATTTGGTGTAGGCGTCCGCAGCAGCGGTCTCGTCCTCCGCGCCGCTAGGTGTCAGTGTGCTCTCATGAGGCCGCCGCAGCCGCTGATCAAGAGCCGTGAGAGAATGACGCAGATCCGCTGCTTCAGCGACGCACGTGTGGAAATCAGCACTGCACGCTATTAGTGTGTCAACAGACACGATTATATTTATGATTTATTAAACTGTAAGCTCACGTCTCCCTTAGGTAGTTCGATATACTTGTATATATATATTTATATATAGTATCGCCTGTTTTAATCAGGAGCGTGTGAAGTTTATTTGGCGAGTGCGGCACAAAGATGTTTTCAGATCTGGATCTGATCAGAACTATCGATGATAATGATGAAGGTCCTGAGGATCCGGACTCAGCGTCTGACGATGAAGCCGTAAGTTCACTTTATCTTCCTGCTATCTGAGTGTCATCATGTTTTGCTTTGGCCTGTATTGTGGTGATACTATGTTGTTTGAGAATGCACCATGTGTCGAGGTGTAAAGTACCATGGTAAATCATGTTTGATGATGTGCTATTGTAGGGCTGTGTTTTGAGCCTGGCAAAACCATGTTTATTTTTTATGTGCAGCATGTTATCTGATGTTGAATCCATGGCAGTACTATGTTTTAAACTTTATACTGTGGTTCTATTATGCTTTGGGGTGTGCATTATGGTAATACTATATTGTTTGAGGTTGTACCATGGTAGTGCTATGTTTTGATTCTTATACTATGGTAAAAGCACGTTTTTTGATGTGCATCATCATGGTACTACGTTGCTTAAGGATGCACCGTGTTTTGAGTAGCGCTGTCGAACGATTAATCGCGATTAATCGCATTCAAAATAAAAGTTTTGGTTTACATATGTAAGAATATAATGTGTATATACATAAATATTTTCAAAATATGTGTGTGTGTATTTATATATATATACATAATAAATATACACAATACACAACAAAAACTTTTTTTGTGTGTGCGATTAATTGCGATTAATCATTTGACAGCGCTAGTTTTGTGTCTGTTGATTTACATTTAGTCATTTAGCAGATGCTTTTATCCAAAGCGACTTACAAATGAAGCAATCAAAATCAACAAAAGAGCAGTGATATGAAATACCATAGTAATACTGTATTTAGAGCCTCATACTGTGGCAATGGCAAGTTTTTATGTGCATCGTGATAATAATATTTTATCTAGTGGCATATCATTGTAATACGGTGTTTTGAGTGTCATACTATGGTAATACCATGTTTTTTTTATGTGCATTGTGCATCATAATAATACGATGTTACTTGCTGATATACCATAGTAATACTGTGTTTTGAACCTCATACTGTGGAAATTTAATGTTTTGCATACCATGTCAATCCTGTGTTTTTGAGGTTTTTTTTTTATCAATACCATTCTATCACAACTTTTTTTTTGTGTACATGCTTGATGGCAATACTGTGTTTTTTACTTTTTTTTTTTTTTTTAGCACAAACTGTGATACCATGTTAATACCATTGTAGAATTTGGACTGCACATTGGTAATAACATAGTATAAGTGTCTTGGAGTATCGTGGTATATGAGGATGGTTGTCATTCATGCACCAAAAAGTTTTTTTTTTTTAACATTGTGCCATGGTGTTTTGGTCATGTTGAGTGGTGTTACTATAGTATGCTGATTGATGAACATTTACCGTGGTTTTCTTGGCGGTACGTTGGTGCACCATGCAATAGAGCTGCACGATTAATCGAATGCGATTGTCATGTAGGGGTGTGATATATATCGTCTGCGATAATATCGTAATTGTTGTTTTAACGATGTGCGATTTGACATTATCGAGTATTTTACAAAAACCATTCAAAACATCCCTACAGAGCGCACGCACACATTACGTGAAGTCTAGACTAGTGCGCGTGCGCATTTAGTGTGTTTTCTTTCACTGCACGATTCAGGCTATTAAAATGCATTTAGAATGATCAAAAATTCAAGACATGATGGCAGAAAATTTATATATTTATACCACGTCATATAGTTATTAAATTTCACACGAAGAGTGCCGTTTTTCTCCAAAAAAATACCATGATTACAAATGTGACATTGAATTCAATGAACAATAAGTTAATTAAGAGACTTACGTTTTAGACACCATATTGCTTGTTTTTGCTCTATTTCGCCAACAAAAATCATCCCGAATACTATGCTACTATGACGGTGTTTCATTCCTGAATGAATCAAGCGTTTAAATGATTCGGTTCAGTCGCAATGACTCACTTATTAACAGTGATTTGCTGCCACCTGCTGGCGGTTTTAATTTCAAATTTCGGCTTTTTCTTTTTTTTTTTATAGATTTTTTTTTTTTCAAATATCAGTATTCAACGTTTTATGTTTAATATATCAAAACATTATTTATGCATTTGTAATTGCAGGTTAAATGCATTCATGTCTTGCGTTAAACAACATACATGTGTGTAAACGCGTCTAAATGCCACTTCAGATGCAGCTTCTGTGTTGATTTAATTTACTCGGTTACAGCCCAGATGTCTTATTATTCTAATTCACTAATTCTATCAGTATGAACTGACCATCACACAGAATATGAAGAATATTAAAAAACATTAGGAGTCAGCTGTCTTCGGCAGTCCTTAAGATATCAGCACAATTAAATAATAATAATAATCGCAGACTATTTTATTGCGCGATTCTGAAATCGCTCGCGATAATGACAGCTGTTTGCATAGCTTCTCGGTGAACTATGGCTCTGTGAAGTAAATGCTGCTCCATCTGAAAGCATGTGAATATACCACATTTAATAACATATTTTTACTCGAAACTCATTTCATAATGTCAGTCGAGTGTTTGAAATAAATCCTTCTGTGAGATGTGGCTTCTTACACAGAATAAGGCACGCAACATATTTCATAGTATTTAAGCAGTGATAAAGGCATTGCATTATAAATATACTTTATTTTAATGAAAATTATTATAATAAGAACTCCGATAAACCGTATATTGCTGTAGTCGTGTGTTTATTAGTTGAATCAATGAAAGCAGTTGAATCTTCTGTTTATTCAGCCGCAGCGATAGGCATTTTCTGGGTTTCTTCTGCGAGGCGTATTTGGAGTTTCTCTGGCCTTCGGATGGAGATTTACTGCTGATCACAGAACCGCGCTTCACTGAAAGATACGCATGACAATCGCAGCTTCTGTCGAATCGCGATCTCGATTCCATTCCGATTTATCGTGCAGCCCTACCATGCAAATACCACAGCAGATGAATGGTGTTTTTCGATGTACCGTAGTATTGGCATCTGATACCATCAGTGCACCATGTTAAGGCTGTTAAAGTGAGCTGATGGTGGTGTGTGTCGTCAGGAGCAGCCCATCGTGTTGAGTAAGCAGAAGCGCGCTCTGAAGGGCCGCGGCGCTGGAGAGTTCAGCGCAGGTTTTGAATTCGGCGAGCGGGAAGGACTGTACAGCGAGGACTGGGCCATGGCAGACGTGATGGCGCAGCTCAAGAAGAGAGTGAGTGGGACAGATTTGTCCCAAATGACACACTATACACTCATACACTATGTACTTATGCACTATGTACTCAACTATGTATAGTATGAATTATATAAGGTTATTTTGTCATTCATAATCGGAGTCTCATAGCCCCTCCCCCTTCAGTATGTAATTAAAGGGATAGTTCACCCAAAAATGAAAATTCTGTCATTTACTCACCCTCGTGTCGTTTCAAACCTGTATGAGTTGCTTTCTTATGTTGAACACAAAATAAGATATGTTGAAGATTGCTGGTAATCAAACAGTTGGTGGTTGCCATTGACTTCCATAGTAGGAAAAAAAATACTATGGAAGTCAATGGCAACCGCCAACTGTTCGATTACCAGCAATCTTCAACATATCTTCTTTTGTGTTCAACATAAGAAAGCAGCTCATACAGGTTTGGAACGACACAAGGGTGAGTAAATGACAGAATTTTCATTTTTGGGTGAACTATCTCTTTAAAGCTGCGACAATTGAGTGCATGAAGTGTCCAACATTCCACACTTCATTTTTTCGGTTAAGTGCATCATCCGGGTATTTAAAGTGCACTTTTTATTTTTGGAAGTTTCAGTGTGAAGGCACTACTCACACCATTTATACTACAAAACGTCATAGAATAGTGCATAAGTATGCGATTTGGGACGCACCTTCTCACTTCGCAGCTCAGGGCTGCTGATCACGTTAGTCACGTTGAATAATCTTCTTCCCTCCTTAATGCTTTTCCAGAAAGCGCCCACTACTCTGGACCAAAAGATCGAGAAAGTGCGGAAAAAGCGCAAAATTGAGGTAAGCCTATGTGTTCAGCATTCAAATGGAAAACATTGTAATAATATTTAACAATATTACTGTTTACTGTATTTTTGATCAAGTCAATGCAGCCTCAGAGAGCAGACATATTTAATGTTTTTGAAAGAAGTTTCTTTTGTAGTTTGAAAATGTTTCTTGATGTCTCTTGAATGATTTCTGAAGATCATGTGACACTGAAGACTGGAGTAATGATGCTGAAAATACAGCTTTGATCACAGAAATAAATTACAGTTTATGATATATTCACATAGAAAACAGTTATTTTAAATTGTAAAACATTTTCATAATTTTTATGACAAGTTACGCAAAAATAATAATAATAATCGCAGACTATTTTATTGCGCGATTCTGAAATCGCTTGCGATAATGACAGCTGTTTGCATAGCTTCTCGGTGAACTACGGCTCTGTGAAGTAAATGCTGCTCCATCTGAAAGCATGTGAATATACCACATTTAATAACATATTTTTACTCGAAACTCATTTCATAATGTCAGTCGAGTGTTTGAAATAAATCCTTCTGTGAGATGTGGCTTCTTACACAGAATAAGGCACGCAACATATTTCATAGTATTTAAGCAGTGATAAAGGCATTGCATTATAAATATACTTTATTTTAATGAAAATTATTATAATAAGAACTCCGATAAACCGTATATTGCTGTAGTCGTGTGTTTATTAGTCACGTTGAATCAATGAAAGCAGTTGAATCTTCTGTTTATTCAGCCGCAGCGATAGGCATTTTCTGGGTTTCTTCTGCGAGGCGTATTTGGAGTTTCTCTGGCCTTCGGATGGAGATTTACTGCTGATCACAGAACCGCGCTTCACTGAAAGATACGCATGACAATCGCAGCTTCTGTCGAATCGCGATCTCGATTCCATTCCGATTTATCGTGCAGCCCTACCATGCAAATACCACAGCAGATGAATGGTGTTTTTCGATGTACCGTAGTATTGGCATCTGATACCATCAGTGCACCATGTTAAGGCTGTTAAAGTGAGCTGATGGTGGTGTGTGTCGTCAGGAGCAGCCCATCGTGTTGAGTAAGCAGAAGCGCGCTCTGAAGGGCCGCGGCGCTGGAGAGTTCAGCGCAGGTTTTGAATTCGGCGAGCGGGAAGGACTGTACAGCGAGGACTGGGCCATGGCAGACGTGATGGCGCAGCTCAAGAAGAGAGTGAGTGGGACAGATTTGTCCCAAATGACACACTATACACTCATACACTATGTACTTATGCACTATGTACTCAACTATGTATAGTATGAATTATATAAGGTTATTTTGTCATTCATAATCGGAGTCTCATAGCCCCTCCCCCTTCAGTATGTAATTAAAGGGATAGTTCACCCAAAAATGAAAATTCTGTCATTTACTCACCCTTGTGTCGTTCCAAACCTGTATGAGCTGCTTTCTTATGTTGAACACAAAAGAAGATATGTTGAAGATTGCTGGTAATCAAACAGTTGGTGGTTGCCATTGACTTCCATAGTAGGAAAAAAAATACTATGGAAGTCAATGGCAACCGCCAACTGTTCGATTACCAGCAATCTTCAACATATCTTCTTTTGTGTTCAACATAAGAAAGCAGCTCATACAGGTTTGGAACGACACAAGGGTGAGTAAATGACAGAATTTTCATTTTTGGGTGAACTATCTCTTTAAAGCTGCGACAATTGAGTGCATGAAGTGTCCAACATTCCACACTTCATTTTTTCGGTTAAGTGCATCATCCGCGTATTTAAAGTGCACTTTTTATTTTTGGAAGTTTCAGTGTGAAGGCACTACTCACACCATTTATACTACAAAACGTCATAGAATAGTGCATAAGTATGCGATTTGGGACGCACCTTCTCACTTCGCAGCTCAGGGCTGCTGATCACGTTAGTCACGTTGAATAATCTTCTTCCCTCCTTAATGCTTTTCCAGAAAGCGCCCACTACTCTGGACCAAAAGATCGAGAAAGTGCGGAAAAAGCGCAAAATTGAGGTAAGCCTATGTGTTCAGCATTCAAATGGAAAACATTGTAATAATATTTAACAATATTACTGTTTACTGTATTTTTGATCAAGTCAATGCAGCCTCAGAGAGCAGACATATTTAATGTTTTTGAAAGAAGTTTCTTTTGTAGTTTGAAAATGTTTCTTGATGTCTCTTGAATGATTTCTGAAGATCATGTGACACTGAAGACTGGAGTAATGATGCTGAAAATACAGCTTTGATCACAGAAATAAATTACAGTTTATGATATATTCACATAGAAAACAGTTATTTTAAATTGTAAAACATTTTCATAATTTTTACTGTATCTTTGATTAAATAAATGCAGCCTTAAGACTTAAAAATCTTATCCAAAGTTTTGACCACCAGATATCTTTTAAAATGTTATTCATATGCCACTCTTTATTTTATGGTTTTGTGTATGTGACATGAAATTTGAAGTTGAACTAAAATGTTTCTGAAATGTTGGTTTGTATTTGCAGGAAAAAACTCAAAAAGAAAGCAAGAAAACAGAAGCTTCAGCCTCTAAACCGGAAAACGACATTGATGATGAAGAGGAGGATAAAGAAGAAGATGAAAATGACGATGATGAAGAATCCGGTGGAGATAATGATGATGATGATGATGATGATGATGAAGAGGTAGATGAAGATGAGTTCTCATCAGGTGATGAAGAGGTGCTCAAAAAAGCAGGTGTGTATTGACAGTCAATCAAAACACTGAAACAACATAAACTACCAAATTTTGCTACAAGTTTGATTGCAACATAATCATTGCTGTTAATAGTGTTCATCATCTGTTTGATTACATCATTAATTGAATTCAATTAATAATTGAATTTTTCCATACATCAATTTGACAGTCACCACTAGGCTTGCTGCATTAGACGGTGTTTTCGGTTACCGCGATTTAATAGCCTAAGTAATTTATTTTATTAGGCACATATGGTGTATTTTTATTCGTTTTGTTAATAAAAGTTCTGAGTTTGATGTTGTTGTTGCTTGAATTGAATCAACGCCTAACTGCCGCTAATTTGAAAGTGAAAGTAAAATGCGCACGGCACTTTTTCTAGCTATTTGAAAGCCAAGAAATCCGAGGAAAAGAGGGAAAACTCAAATGAACAATTGCTTGACGCCGAATTGCGTCACTTTGAAAGTGAAAGTAAAATGTGCACGGCACTTTTACAAGCCAAGAAGTGAAGAAAAGAGTGGAAACTCAAACGAACTAACACCCCCTCGCCCCAACGGTGATACCGGTGTGGTCACACGTCGATTAACCGGTGGGAAAACTTCCTCACCGTCACAACCCTAGTCACCACTGACAAGCTCCTACTAAATATATCGTAGAAACTTAATTTCCTGTAAAGCTTCTTTGCAACGATTGTATCATGAAAAGCACTATACACAAACTTGAATTGAACTGAAAAAAACACTTTATTATTGTTCTCTATGAACAGATTTGCTATATTTCATCCTCTCTCTTTTCTTACAGACACTTTGAGAGAAAAACAGAAGAAAGGCAAGAGGAAAACAGCAGAAACTGTGAGTATGGCTCGGTTCTGTTGAGCTGCTGCTGTTGTTTATGGTGTGAACGGATTCTCTCGGTTATATTTCTGTGTTTGGGATGTTCTGGAGGTTTGCTCAGTGTTTTCCTCCTCTCTCTCTCTCTCTCTCTCTCTCTCGCTGTCTTCCAGTCTGAAGCGTTTTTTGAAGACGCCTCGCAGTATGATGAGAACCTCACCTTCCAGGACATGAATCTGTCCAGACCTTTACTGAAGGCGAGTCTGACGTCACATGCATGTGTGATGCTTTTCAGCCTTTTATGTTCTTTGTATTGTTTATTTTTTTTAATCTTAAATTACGTTTTTATTTTCTGAAAATAACCATCTCTTCAGTCCTTTTTTTTTTTTTTTTTTTTTTTTTTTTAAATTTTGGGTCAGGTTTTTATTTTTTTAAATAAATTAGTACTTTTATTAAGCAAGAATTCATTAAATTGATCAAAAGTGACGGTGAAGACATTTATAATGTCTTGATAATAATCAGAAATGTGTCCCTGGAGCACAAAAGCAGTGTTAAGTCGCTGGGGGATATTTGTAGCAATAGCCAACAATACATTGTATGGGTCACAATTATAGATTTTTCTTTTATGGCAAAAATCATTAGGATATTAAGTAAAGATCATGTTCCATGAAGATATTTTGTAAATTTCCTACCGTAAATATATCAAAACTTAATGTTTGATTAGTAATATGCATTGCTAAGAACTTCATTTGGACAACTTTAAAGATGATTTTCTCAATATTTAGATTTTTTTGCACCCTCAGATTCCAGATTTTCAAATAGTTGTATCTCAGCCAAATATTGTCCTATTCTAACAAACCATACATCCATGGAAAGCTTATGTATTCAAAACATTGACGCTTATGACTGGTTTTGTGGTCCAGGGTCACAAATTCTCGAGCAGCAAATCAGCGTCTTAGATTGATTTCTGAAGGATCACGTGACACTGAAGACTGCAGTAATGATGCTGATTTACTGTTTTTACTTTATTTTTTATCAAATTAATGCAGCCTTGATGAGCAAACATGACAACATTTTCGATGAACGAGTTCTGATAATGTCATATAATATAGTTTTAATGTATATGCAGCAATGTAAGTGATCATTTTCTAGTGCTTCTCAGTCTTTACTGACATTTTTGACGTAGTAATGTTGGTTTAGGCTGCAGTGTAAAGAATTACTGTAGCTTGTACAAGTGCTTTGATGACAATGACCTGGAGAATTTCTTGTGATGTGGTGTGATTAAGTGACTACTTTTGCATTACATTTTTAATGTTTTAACGGTCTGTTATCAGCTGAGAAACATAATTTGCATCCAAATAAAACTGTGCACCATATGATGTAACATGGGCCTTCAGTAGAGGATGCCCAGCGTTTCTGAAGTGTTCTCCTCGTGTTTGTTCAGGCCATCAGTACTATGGGCTTTAAGCAGCCCACTCCCATTCAGAAAGCCTGCGTCCCTGTGGGGCTGCTGGGAAAAGACATCTGTGCATGTGCCGCCACTGGCACTGGTGAGACTTCTGTCTGTTTGATTTGACCAGAAAGAAAGAATGAATATGGCCTTTTCTGTTAATGAATGAGGATGGATGTGACTCGTTTCGACGCCTCTCTGTCTGTGTCTCAGGAAAGACGGCGGCCTTCATGTTGCCGGTGCTGGAGCGTCTGATCTACAAGCCCAGAGAGACGCAGGTGACGCGTGTGCTGGTTCTGGTGCCGACCCGAGAGCTGGGCATCCAGGTGCACTCCGTCTCCCGCCAGCTGGCTCAGTTCACCAGCATCAGCACCTGCCTGGCTGTGGGTAAGAGCCCTGCTGCTTAGTAGGATTCATTTTCTGTAGTATTCATTCATATTTTGAATTCATTTAGATTTTTATATTTAATATAATAATATTATACAACTATTTAATAAACAATTGTGCTTTTGTCATTTTTTTTATTTATATATTTGTCAATTTCTATTTATTTTAGTTTTAGTAATACTGTTATGTGCTCTTGGCATTTTTTAGCTTAGTTCATTTTTTTAAACAACTTGTTTTAAAATGTTTTAGTTTTAAAGTATTAGTAATTATGTGCTTTTGTCATTTTTTTATATATATATATATTTTTAATTTATTAAGTAAAAAAAAAATAAAATTTTAGTACTTCAACCTAAAATTAGAAATGGTGTTAGTTTTTCATCTAATAGTGTTATTTTATTTCTTTTTTAGGTTTTAGCAATTCTATGTGCTAATTTAGTTTTATTCTTTTTTTATATCTTTATTTCAGTTTTTGGTTTAGTAATGTTAGTGCTTCAACTTATACTTATTTAATTTAGTTTATTTGTCAAGACTGCATTTATTTCAAGTTTTTAATCGAATTATTACGTTTTTATTTCAGCTTTATTTGTTTATGTAATAGTGTTATTTTATTTCTTTTTTAGGTTTTAGCAATTCTATGTGCTAATTTTGTTTTATTCTTTTTTTTATATCTTTATTTCAGTTTTTGGTTTAGTAATGTTAGTGCTTCAACTTATACTTATTTAATTTCGTTTATTTGTCAAGACTGCATTTATTTCAAGTTTTTAATCTAATAATTACGTTTTTATTTCAGCTTTATTTGTTTATGTGTATATATATATATATATATATATGTATATAATTTTTTTTTGTTTTAGTTAAAAATAACAGCTCAGATTAAGAGCGGCTCTGTTGCTTTAATTCTCTCTTTCACATGTTAAAATAAGACACTTGGATATACTGTTAGAAATGAAGGCGGGAAGTATTGTGAGAGGTTTGTGACGTGTCTGTCAGGTGGGTTGGACCTGAAGTCTCAGGAGGCGGCGCTGAGGGTGGGGCCAGACGTCCTGATCGCCACACCGGGACGCCTGATCGACCACCTGCACAACACACCCTCGTTTGAGCTCAGTCAGATCGAGATCCTCATCCTGGACGAGGCCGACCGGTGAGAGCCAGACTCCTAGAGCTACTGCTCAGACTTGCTCAGTGCTTTGCTGGTTATTTAGACGTGTGTCTTTGGCTCAGGATGTTGGACGAGTACTTCGAGGAGCAGATGAAGGAGATCATCAGGATGTGCTCCTATCAGAGACAGACCATGCTGTTCTCAGCCACCATGAGTGAAGAGGTGATGCTGCTGACCTTCAGCTTTACAGCGTTACTCGACTTAATTCCACTTCACTTCAGTCCGTGTATATGGATGCTTGATGTATCCAGTGTTGAAATCAGGTTATTGTGCAAGTAATAAGAGTAAAAAGTGATAGACAGACAGACAGACAGACAGATAGGTAGACAAACAGACAAACAGACGGGTAGGTAGGTAGATAGATAGATGGATAGACGGATAGACAGATAGATACAAATCCATCCAAGTAAATTAATATAGAAATTTAAATATATAAAATAAGTGCATAAAATAAATACATAAAGGAATAAATAAATTCATAAAATAAAACTAAATAAATTGCATAATACCACAGTTTATAATTTAATTTCTTTACTGACGAAAACAATTGAGATCATCTTGTTTTCCCATAAATATCTTTTCCCTTAAATAGCTATCAGTTCCAAACATTGGATGTACCAGTGAAAATATAAGAACGATAGATAGATATAAATCAAATCAATGAATATATCAAAATAAATAAAATGCATAAAATAAATGTATACATTAATAATACATTAATTACAAAAATAAATAATGCATTAAAAATATGCATTAAAATGCATAAATACATAAATTATATCATTTTATTTATTTTGTTTTGTTTCTCTACTGACAAAAACAATTGAGATCATCTTGTTTTCCCATAAAAATCATTCCGTTCCAAACACTTGCACCAGTGATCGTTATATCAGGCAGTTCTAGTGTCATTTTAATTATTTGTATCAGTTTGATTAGGTCAGTATTACAGAATCAGGGTTATTTTTACAATTTGCACAATGTAGCTTATAGACTAAACGTAGCCATCATATGGGTTGTGTGCCATATAGAATGTTATTTTTGACTCTGACTGTTAGTGCAACACATCTATATTGGTGTTTTTTTCATATTTCCCTTCAGGTGAAGGATCTGGCGTCTGTGTCGCTGAAGCAGCCGGTGAGGATCTTTGTGAACAGTAATACAGACGTGGCGCCGTATCTCAGACAAGAGTTTGTGAGGATCAGACCCAATAAAGAAGGAGACAGAGAGGCTATTGTTGCAGGTAAGGTGCTCTAATGAGTGGCCTTGTTGGTCTGCTCTCTACTTGGGGTGTTGTGACTGTACTGCATCTTTATAAGTGACTGATTTCAAGTGCTTTTCATTGATAGTAACTCCTTGATAGTAAGTCACTTGTGAACCGCACAAAAAGACACAATGATTCCAGTAGAGTTTGGCGTTACTGTTTTCCTCTTAACACAAAATATGCATACTCGCTTATGAATGTGCAATTTTTCATCTTGTTGAGCTATTTACAATCAAAAATAGAAATAAAAAATATATTTATAATGTATCTTTCCTTTGAAACTGTCCATCTTTGAAGAAAATTATTTTAGCTACTTGCAGTCAGTGTTATGTTAGTATATAGTATATATGTTTTTTGTTTTTTATATATTTTCGGTTTTCATTTTAACTTAATTTTGAAATGTATTTATTACTTTTTAATCAATTTGTTTTGACTTGATTTTTATTTTTCTCTTCAGCATTCATTTTATTTTCAGGTTTAGTTTGTCATTTTAGTACTTATCTAAGATTTAAATCATTTAATTTAGCTTTTACAGTTACTGAAAAAAGATTTTTAATACATTTAGTCTTGATGAAGGATAACAATACTGATCGCAGAGCATTTGGGGATCGCGACCAATGCATGCAATATCAATGGCCAAAACCAAACAATTTTGCTGCCTACTGTTTTGAAGTAACTTACGATGTCTAAAAGTGCTGTCTAGTTAGGCAGCTCACTAGGGTTTGGAACAGAGTCATAGAGTCTTTTCAAACCTGGACTAATTTGTTCTCGGATTTAGTTTCATTCTGAAATGCGTGTATTAAATCCCGTTATTGTCCGCAGCTCTCCTGACCAGAACGTTTCAGGACCACGTGATGCTCTTCACTCAGACGAAGAAGCAGGCTCACCGCATGCACATCCTGCTGGGCTTGATGGGGTTAAAGGTTGGCGAGCTTCACGGAAACCTGTCGCAGACGCAGAGATTGGAGAGTCTGAAGTGAGTTTCATGCAATAATAAAACACAAAGATTTGACTTTAATAAACTGCTGCATGAAAGACATCATTGTGCTTCAGGCGTTTCAAGGACGAACAGATTGATATTTTAGTGGCTACAGACGTGGCTGCCAGAGGTCTGGATATAGAGGGAGTCAAAACTGTGAGTTCTCATGAGTTTGCAACTAATATCCGCGTTAGTGAAACCCCAGAGAACACATGTGTGAATGCATGTGTGTTTGCAGGTGATAAACTTCACCATGCCCAAGTTCATTCTGAAACGCGTGTATTAAATCCCGTTATTGTCCGCAGCTCTCCTGACCAGAACGTTTCAGGATCACGTGATGCTCTTCACTCAGACGAAGAAGCAGGCTCACCGCATGCACATCCTGCTGGGCTTGATGGGGTTAAAGGTTGGCGAGCTTCACGGAAACCTGTCGCAGACGCAGAGATTGGAGAGTCTGAAGTGAGTTTCATGCAATAATAAAACACAAAGATTTGACTTTAATAAACTGCTGCATGAAAGACATCATTGTGCTTCAGGCGTTTCAAGGACGAACAGATTGATATTTTAGTGGCTACAGACGTGGCTGCCAGAGGTCTGGATATAGAGGGAGTCAAAACTGTGAGTTCTCATGAGTTTGCAACTAATATCCGCGTTAGTGAAACCCCAGAGAACACATGTGTGAATGCATGTGTGTTTGCAGGTGATAAACTTCACCATGCCCAACACAGTGAAGCATTACGTGCACAGGGTGGGCCGAACGGCTCGCGCGGGGAAAGTGGGCCGATCCGTGTCTCTCGTGGGTGAGACTGAGAGGAAGATGCTGAAAGAGATCGTTAAAAAAGCCAAAACCCCCGTCAAAGCTCGAGTCATTCCTCAAGGTAAAGATGCTTCATCTTGTGTTGAGTTAAACTCACAACTGTGTTCCAACTTATGACCAAATCTCTCTTTTGAGTTGGTTGTTTCTGATAAATCTGTCTGAATGGTTCTTTGCACATCGGTCGAAATCCATGGTGTCCTTCCACAAATTAAGACATTACAAAGTCTTAAATTCATAAAGTAATGGCAATAAATGTTGGATGTTTTCCCATACAAATATCTAAACATTCTTAAATCAAGACATCAAAATTGAGTTTGTTTTTAAAAAAATACCTCTCAATGGGGAATGAAAACTTGTTGATTTTCACGACTCCATTAGCAAATAATTGTTTTTTTTTGTTAATCACAAACGCAGTTAATTTTGAGCAGTTTCTCATAGAACAAGACTTCTTAATTTATGCCATTTTGCTTCTCAAGTAAATATAACCTGATTTAAGAGTCTTTAGACATTTGCACTGGAAAACAAACAAACAAAAAAAAGACCAAGGAAGAGCATCACGTTTTTTGTAGAGTGATCAGAAAGTACATTAGGGCCTGGTTTCACAGACAGGGCTTAGCTTAAGTCAGGACTAGGCAATAGTTCAATTAGGACATTCAAGTAATTTTTATTAACGTGCCTTAGAAAAAACATTACTGGTGTGCATTTTGAGACAGAACAGAGGCACTGATATATTTTAAGATCAGTCGGTGCTAGTTTCTTTCAGTTAAAACAGCTCAGACTTACACTTTAGTCTGGGATTAGGCTTAAGCCTACGGTTGAGAGCAAAGCTGTTAAACTCATTTTTTGTAAGAAGATTGAAAAAGTAGTGGATGTTTTGCTAATGTAACTGATTGTGGTTTTTAAAGTGTCTTTGCATGATCTTAAAACGCTCTTAAATCTTACTTGTATCTCTACAAAACCTGCAGAATCCCTATAAATCACAATTGCTAAAAATCATTATCACTAGACTACTGGAATGCTTTTCATTGTTTTGATGCAGTTCTGTATCAAAGATGACTCTGTTAATAAAGTGCGTGTTTCTGGGCGTCTCTCAGAGGTCGTGCTGAAGTTTCGGGATCTGATTGAGAAGCTGGAGAAGGACGTGTACGCGGTGTTACGCTTGGAGAAGGAGGAAAAGGAAATGGCTCATTCAGAGGCGCAGGTCTGACTCTCACGTTTGGTTCAAATGTTCACTTGTGATTGTATGATTAAACACACTTTGCCTCCTGTAGTAAACAGTTTGTGTGTGTGTTTCATTTTTCTGTTGTTGTTTAGATCAGTTCGGCTCAGAAGAGGTTAACACAGGGCGCAGACGAGAAACAGATGCCCAGGACGTGGTTCCAAACGCACGAGGAGAGAAAGAAAGAGCGCAGTGAGTTGAATTTGTGAAAGAAATTTCAGTTTTTTAAATGTTTTTGAAAGCGGTCTCTTCTGCTCACTAAGGCCACATTTATTTGATCAAAGATACAATAAAATTGTGAAATATTATTTCAATTTAAAAGAAGTGTTTTCTATGTGAATATATATCAAAATGTAATTTATTTCTGTGATGTGCAGCTGAATTTTCAGCATCATTACTCCAGTCTTCAGTGACATTTCTGATTATTATCAATGTTGAAAACAGTTGTGCTGCCCAATATTGTTGTGGAAACTATGATACATTTTGTTTTTCAAGATTCTTTGAATAGAAAGTTGAAAAGAACAAATCTTTTTAACATTATAAATGACTTTACTGTTACTTTTGATCAACGTAATGCGTCCTTGATGAACAAAAGTATTAATTTGATCAAAAAAAAAAACAATAGTGAACACGGCAATGAGAAAATGTAATCCACTTGTCATAACCACATTTCTGCTTCAGATGTGCATTAAACCGTCACATTTCCAATACATTTTCTTAATATTTCAATAATTGTTTGCGTGTGTCTGCATTTATCATCTCGTCACGCTCTTTCATTTTCCTTTTCTTTGTCAAAGTGACAAAAGCGCTGCAGGATTTTGATTTGGCTCTGAGAGGAAAGAAGAAACGTGCGCAGTTCCTGAAACAGGGCAAGAAGAAAGAGTTAACGGTGAGATTATTTCATCAAACTGTCTTTTTGGCTTTATGCTTTTATGACCTGGCTTTGTACATCACTGTGCTATCTGAAATTAAATTTGCTCTCGTAGCGCATCCATGAATCATCATAGAGGTCTAGCCACCGTATGCTGCGTCAGATCTGTGTATTTGAATGTTTAACGTGTGTGTTTTGTTTGTGTGTTTGTGTTTTTGTGTGTGTGTGTGTGTGTGTGTGTGTGTGTGTGTACAGGTATATATGGTTTATGAGGACACTAATATATATAATGACATGGGTACTACAACGTAAACATGGTTTATGAGGACACTTCCTGTGTCCCCGTAAAACAAAAGGCTTAAACATACAAAACGGTGTTTTATGAAATTCAAAATTTGCCAGTAGTTTTCTGTAAGGGGTAGGTTTAGGTGTAGGGTGATAGAAAATACAGTTTGTACAGTATAAAATCCATTACACCTATGGAGAGTCCCCGTAAATCACAAAATACAAGAATGTGTGTGTGTGCCCCAGGCGGAGGAGAGAGCTCAGTTCGAGGTGCTGAAGTCTCAGATGTACGCCGAGCGAGTCGCCAAGCGTGATCGCAAGCCTAAGCGAGCCAGAGCCATTCCTGAAGAAGAACCTGTGAGGAAAGGTCAGCAAATAAACACTTGAACCTCCTGCATGGGCTGAGCATTGGTAAACATGCGTTTGAGTTGATTTGAATTCAAATTCTGACTGCTTAAACTTTCTTCTTCCAGTTTCCAAAGACAAGGGCGGCAGAAAGAAGTCTGTGTTTGACAAGGAGCTCACGAACACCAGCAAGAAAACTCTGAAGCAGTACAGAGCCGGGTGTGTGCCGCTGCATGCCATCCTGAAGATTGCAAGCTTCTGTGTTCTTGTCTCTGAGTCTAACAGTGATTTCTCTGTCTAGGCCGTCCTTCGAGGACAGGAAGAGACTCGGCATTCCAAACAAGAAAGGAGGACGCTTCAAGTCGAAGACCAGGTCAGATTTATTACAATCAACTCCCTAAAACACATCCCCATTAAATATGCAACTAAATTTTTAGTATTGTCAGACTTTAATTTCATTTAACAGAGCATTGTCAATGAGAACAGACTGATTTTGTCTACGTTAATTTATTTTTTCATATAATGCATTGTTTGGGAATTATGGAGGGATTTAAATTACTTGGGTATATAAAAGTAAATGATGACATATGAAATAAAATACACACCTTGAAATTAAATTTAGTGGACAACATAAAGCAACAAATGAATGAATCCTAAAATAATTGAATACATCATGCAAGTTATTGCAATTACAAAAGATTAACAAGGGTGTGAAATGTATTTATTTTATTTTTGCATTTTGTTGCACTTCTGTTTATCTATTGCTACATTCCATTATGTGATTAATCATTTAATAATATATTTAATATAGATTGGTAAATTACTGCATAGAGAATAACAAGTCTAGTGTGTGATAAGGAAAAGGGTATTTTAAATACTTTATGAAAATGCACAAATATTTTATAAAAATGGTTCATACATTTGTGTGTCTGTATTGTGAAATTTATATACTCTGAAGCTATTTTAAACATGTTTGCAATTATTTCAAGTAGGAAAAAAGTGTACATTTTAGGTACATTTTAACTTAATGTCTTGATGGATTTTATATAAGAAAATGAGTGAATTTTCTTATATAAAAAAGTCTCATCTCAAGTCTTTTATGTGTCTTTGCAGGTACAAAAGAAAGTGAAGCCGTGCCTGATGTGTCCGTGAAACATCACCCTCTCTATCGTTTTATCATCATCCTCCCTCCAAACTTTCCCCAAAATAAACCTCTACAACTTGTTTAACCTGTACTTCTGTTTATCATGGTAGAGCAGAGTAAATATGAACCAATGACTAATGAGCATCAGAAATCAAATTGATTTCCCTCGATTCAAGCCAAATGATTCCTGCAGAGCGAGATGATTAATCAGTGTCCGGTGCAGGAAACTCCTTTATCAGACGAATTTAAAGAGAATGCAGAAAAACTCTCCCTGTAACCATAAAAAAAAAAAAAAATGAATGCAGCTCCAACAGTATTCTGCACGGTAAAGATGCTAAATATAACAAAACAATAAAATTAGAGGTGATACTTTATTTGAAGGTGTCCTTGTTACATGTACTTACTATTATAATTACTATGAATTATGCATAATTGCATGCAAGTAACCCTAAGCCAAACCCTAACCATATAGTAAGTACATGTAGTTAATTAATATTACTCAGTACTTAAATGTATAATTACACTGTAACAAGGACACCTTCAAATAAAGTGTAGCCAAATTAGATTTGTTTATATTAAATGTTTTAATAAGAATTTGTAATTTATTATATTTTATTAAATATTTGGCTACACTTTATTTGAAGGTGTCCTTGTTACAGTGTAATTATACATTGAAAGACTGAGTCATATTAATGAACTACATGTACTTTACTATATGGTTAGGGTTTGGCTTAGGGTTACTTGCATGCAATTATGCATAATTGTTATTATAATAGTAAGTATTGTGCATGTAATGTGTAACAAGGACAGCGTACAAATAAAGTGTTGCCAAATATTTGTATTTATTGCTTGATATTTACTTATTTATTCAATTATTTACTCTGTTAAAAATGAAGGTGATGCTTATAAGTACATGCAGAGAGAAATCTGCTGAACTACTTGTGTAAATATCATATGGAGCTTCTTTATTGCTTTATTGTAGTAATTACTCATGTTTATAGAGTATATGGTAACAATATGAGTGAACATTATTAATGTACTAACATTTAAATAAATATTAAATACTGATAAATTAAAGCATTAAGCCCCAAGAAGCCCCAAGAAAGGAATAACCGTTTTTATAAAACGGTTATTCCATATACGTAGTAAGGTTTCACAAAATAAACCGGAGCAAATAAAGTGTAATGTTATTAATAAAAACAATATTCTTCCACCAAACGAGAATCAGTTGTGGTTGCAACAAAGTGGTTGGCGAGCAACACGCAAACGTAAACAAAGGTGTGTGTTTGTAGAGTCATTTACAACAGCGTCGAACGTGGCTCAACCAATCGGAATCAAGGACCGGAACTCTCCGTTTTATAAAATATAATAATAATAATAAATACTGTTGTACGGTATTTGTACAACTTTCTGTAAAAATGATTTCCTCAAAAACAAAACAAAAAAGCATCCGACCACTTTGACAAACCTATCGGTAACTGCTGGTATTTTACCCTTTTTTTAGGGCAATTTGCAGAGTCTGTGTAGAATTATGCAGAAATTACACTGGGTGTAATGTGAAGTTATTAGTGTTTCTTGCTATGGACATCTGATTTGAAGCTTTGTTTATTAACAGGAAGTAAACATGAAGCTCCAGTCAGGTGTTTGTTCATCAAACAGACGTGAGGTTGAGAATAGGGATGGGCGATACCCCGTACTGTGTTTTCGATACGATACCGATATTTTTCAAGGCAGTATCGTCGATATCGATACCGATTCGATACTTCTGCACTAAACTTTTAAATTATGAAATGTATTAAATTACTAAATTACTAAGAGTAAAATGGGTAGTGAAAACCACTTAACGCATTTTAACCCATTTAATCCCAAATTTTTCCCAGATATGAAAATATCCAAATGATGCGTCATTAGTAACCCTTTGAAGAAATCAACTTTTTTTTTTTTTGGAAAAGTGTGTGAAAATGTTTTATTTTATGGTCAGTCACAATTGTAGCCGGTGGGATAATGTGTATACTGAATTAACACATTTCTGCAGTCGTAAAAATAGTTATATATATCTTAGCCCAGCTATTTTAAACTGTTTGATCACATTCTAGGGTTACTATTATGCATAAAAACCTTTATACAACACTGATAGGAATACTGAGATCAAAAACAACCATCAACGCATTTCAAAATTGTTACTCTTTTTGTAACATATATCATCACATTTTTATATTAGTGCTACCAGTATTACAACATTAATATTCTAACTTATTTGTAACATTTGAACTTTTGATTTAGCGCAATATTTTGTACTGCCATAAGGGACTGCCAGTGAATGGCTGTTGCATGCATAAAATGCAACCTTTTTGTTCTGACAGTGTATGATTTCTATTAACATTACAGAATAGAACATGATCAATATATCTGTCAACGTTCAATTTAAATAATTGTAATTGCACAAACTATGTAGGCTACAATTTCAATTAGTTTATTGTGAAATAACTCAAACATGTTTATTTCTGTCCTCTGATAAGCATTGTTCAGGGCTGCTGTTCCCAAAAGCTTTAATGCTTTCTTATGATACTTCTGGGAAACGCAGGCCTGTCTGAATGCACTTTTAGAAGTGAGTGAACGTGCTCTTTGATGGATCGGTTCTGTCTTGCAACATTTGCGTGTGTTCAGATGAGCAGGAATAGTTCTATAGATGCGAACAAAGGTTATTAATCCAATTCAATGCATTTGTACGCATTATTATTATTATTGTTAAATAAACAAAAGCACTGGTAAATAAAGCGCACCTTAGTATCGATATGTTTTGTTTGAGTATCGATATACTTTCGGATCGATAAGCCCATCCCTAGTTGAGAACAGCTTCCTCAATTTAAAAACAGGACATGTTTTCTAAGTCTTGCAATGCCTCCTTTTATTCAAGATTTCCTCTTGTATTACAACTAGTATCTCCACAGTCGATCTTTAATCATGTTTGCATGAGTTTTGCACACTTCAAGACTATTTTTTCCCCTTATTTGCTCTGCCAAATGAGATGTAGTGTTGTTGAACAGCACTTTACAGGTCCTGCCACCTCAGCCACACTGTTGCCCAGGCTTGCTTCTGTTTTGCATCTACCTCAATGCATTGCATTCAAAACGCAACATTTCTTCTAGTATGTTTGTTTTGTGAAATGGTCTCAAGCAGGTGATTTCATACAAACACCTTCCTAAAGATACTAGTGTCTTTAAAGATCTAAAAAGATTGGTGTGTTTGCAAACTACTGATCAGTGAATTCAACAACACTACATTTAGGTTTGATGAATTTCAAGTTATGCATACTTCATTTTGACAAACTATAGAATCACTTCTATAATAGTGAGAAACTCCTACTATAATAATAATCATTTTCATTCATCTAAATCGATTCTGTTTCCAGGGAACTGTTTACTGATGTGACCAATGCACTATGTCAGAGTTTTGGACTCGAAACCCCAATACTGGGATGCATCGCTTGTGACAACTTACCCCGCTCTCACCTATTGCGCATGTCTGTAAATCTCTCCACGGTAACCGAGTCTTTTTTCCGTTCGTCACTTTCGGTTCTGACTCAGAGAAACCGGCTGACGGTCCGCCCACAGCCTCGAGAAACGAAACTAAACCGGTAGCTATTTAAAGCCACCGAGGAGAAGAAAGACGCACTAATACTGAAGACACCATAACCAGGTGAGTGCTGAAGATCATATTAAATAAGAATCGCTTTGTTTATACTATTATTTATATTTTATATCTGGTGTCATTTGCTGCTGCTGGTTTTACTCGTCTCAAATAGAAACAGTTTTTTTTTTTTTTTTTTTTTTTAACCTCGTCATTCAATTTTAAAAAAAATTTTAAAAGCAAGAACGCGAATAATATTCTCATTTCACAATATATATTGTAACGGTACAATAAAACATTTAGAAAAAATTATATAAAAACATGTTTAATCGTGAATGTTACATACGCACACACACACACATATATATACATATACATACATAGGCCTACACACACACACACACACACACATATAGGCTATATATATAGTGTGTTGTCCATATCATGCTCTCTAGTCTGTGTTGATAACTACACTGATTTAACTGAAATTTCACAGTGGCAGATCAATAATTCAATAATGTGTCCGGTTCAGATATCAGCTCAATTTGACCAAGCAGACTAATCATATATGAATGTAGGTTCATTGACAATATTTACTTTTCTGAGATAAAGGAAGGATTTTGAAGTTACAGGCTTTTTATGAAAGTTTGTTTGCATGTATGCAACGTTTTAAGAAATGCACTTGCTTACTGTTTTGCAAATGTTAAAGATGATTGAAGAAATGTACCAAAGTGACTGAGAAAAACTAAAATGTATGAAAGTCATTGTATTAGATCCAGGGTTTCAACCAGATAGATGTCCACCTAGAGGGGAGTAAAGGTATATCCGTTATCTACAGAGAGGAATTATTTTCTATTATTTGTTTACTGTATTGGTATAATCGCTCTGCAGATATATTAGAATGGTCAATCCAAGAGGAGGAGGACAGCACAGAGGAAGAGGAGGCTTCAGTGCCCATCAAAGAAGAGGTATAGGTTTTTACCTCTTTACATTGCTTTATTTAACTTGGTCGCTCAGTATGCGTTCTTATTACTTATACACCACAATATCTATTTTTTCAACAGATGGATCTGTGCCTGGTCAAAGACAAGCAAGCAGGTCTCCCAGTCGAAGCAGAGGAAGCAGCAGAGGTGGCCGAGGGGAGGGAAGAGGAGGAAGAGGAGGAGAAGGAAGGGGTCGAGGTCACCAACAAGCCAGTGGAAGTACAAACAGCCAAAGGGAACGATGGCCAGAGGAAATATTTCAAGGTGCAAGAGGAGGAGGAGATGGAAGGGGACGAGGACAGAGGAGAGGAGATAACCAGCACCATCATCAAGGAAAGCCAAGTGGGAACAACACCCACCGCCCTGTGATAAGAGGAGGCCTAACTAATGCATCTTTACACTCTCGAGGGTTTGGGAGACCTGTTCAAGGGCTCATGCATCAACATTATGTAAATTATTTACTTCCAGCTCCTCGCCGTCCTGAAAACATGGGTCACCAACAAGCCAATGAAAGTATGACTGATGGAAGAGTTGGACCACAAGGTGAAGAACCTCAAAGAGGAAGAGTAGAAGCTCAGAGAGGTAGAGGGGGAAATGGAAGAGGAAGAGGGAGAGACGGCACCCCTGAAGTACGCAAGCTGGGGTATAAAACGCTTGAAGGCCTGTTGGAGAAAGAAGCATCCGAAGTGGCCATCACCCTTTCATATAGCACTGGGCTCAAGAATCTGCTTGACGACAATACGATGAGAAGCGACCTGGTGCAGCTGGTTTGTCAAGTTCTCTGCAAGGCCTTTGAGTCTCGAATTGATCGCAAGATCGTGCTGCACTTGGCTGGCATCGTCAAGGACTCTCCGTTTTTCCGTAACGGTCTGCCGTATCATGTGACTGGAATGATGTCGGATTGCGAGCAAGCTCGAAGGGAGCAGTATCCCCAACATTTGAGCAACATCATCAGCCTTCTCTCTGAAGTTCTCAACATGTTTCCGCACAGCTCTATCCAGTCAGTTTCCATGTTGGTGGCTCTTTTGAAACTGACCGTCAACCAGTTGCGTGCCTCTGGTGTGGATATTCTCGACAATACTGATGAAGACTTAGAGAGGGTGCAGGGTTTGGTGGACCATCTCCAGGAAAAATCAAGGGAAGGCACCTTGCGATCAGATAACTACTCCTTCCTGGCAGCAGATGAGGATGCCCCACCTGGGGAAGAAGACTTCAGGACGATGAGCATCTATCCAACCACTGAGGAGTTCCACCTAGACCAGAAGCCATTCCTGAGACCCAACATAATGTCTCAAAGCTTCCCTAACACTCGCATCTATCTAGACACACACTTCAGACTTCTGCGTGAAGATTTCGTGAGGCCGCTGCGAGAGGGTGTCAGGGAGCTCCTGAGTATCCTGCACAGTGAGGCTGTCGATGGAATACCAATGAAAAAGAGGCATTTCGATGACATCAGAGTCTACTATGACACCCGATTGATTTTGCCACTCTGCACACCAATGGGAATTGCCTACAAAGTGCAGTTTAACTCACGGCTTCTTGAGGTAATCACAAACTACAAGTTGTCCGAGAGAACTCTATGTACTCTATAGCTCCCAAACATGTCCTCCTATTAGGGATGCACAATTTGGTTGGTATCAATTTGCCGATATTTTTCTACTCATTTTGGCCGATAACCAATGGCGATACCGATATATTTCCTTTTGTTCTGAAACAACACCAAGTCTCTTCTGTGCAGAGATAATAAACAAATTATTTTTAATTATATATTACACATTAATCAATAAATCTGTAAAAATATAAGAGTATTTCACTTATATGCGAGTTATTAGTCTTATCGGCAAGGCATATCGGCATTTTTTTTTCATATCGAGCCGATGCCGATATTTGCATTTTAAGCCAATATCAGCCGATTCCGATAACATTCTGATAATATTGTGCATCCCTTCCTCCTTCTATAAGTTTATTTCATTGTATCTTCTCTTACAGTTTGTCCGGTGGGAAAATTCCAAACGTTTGCTTTACGGATCCCTTGTCTGTCTCTCCATGGACAACTTCGAAACCTTCCTGTTCGCCACCGTTACCGATCGGGATCCGAAGCTCCTGAAGCAGGGACAGGTGCATCTCTGTTTTTCTTCTGACAGCAGGGCCAGGTTGGCCAGTGTTCAGCCCTCAGACTCCTTCCTTATGGTCGAGACTACGGCTTACTTTGAGGCCTACCGATATGTCCTAGAAGGTCTTAAGGAGCAAAACGAGAACGATGTTCCCTTTCAAAGGTATGCATAATTAAAGTAAATGTGAGTCTTTCTTACTTGGCTGGTTTCTAGAGCATTGCTATATGAATAAAGTATTCCGAATGGTTTTAGAGTGTGTTGTGGTTGCTTGGGTGTTCTAGGTGATTCCTAGGTGGTATTAAGTCAAAAGTACTCACTGCCAAGGCTTTGCATCATCAGTTCCAGGTCTGAACAATAATAATAGTCGTGCTTAACTTGGTAAACACCACACCGCACGTTTTTGTTGTTTTAGGTACATAGTGGAGTGCAACACAGATGTAGATCCTCCAGCTTACCTTCGGGTGGAGGGAAGGTCATATGATCTGTCTAGCATCATGGCAGAAGGACAGAAGAAGATTCCACCCTTTAACCCCTTGACCCCACATGCCTGGCCTGATGAGGAAAAAATGGGTCTTGATGAAAGCCAACTTGAAGCACTTAAACTGGCCTTAACCAATGAACTGGTCATCATACAGGGACCGCCAGGAACAGGTGACTGATCTGTGACTAGAGGTTGCTGTGAACCAATGTAGTACTCTCGAGACCAAGTTGCAAATATGCGCAAAAATTTTAATAATAACAACATAATAGATGCAACCTGTTTCTGGATTGCAAAGACATCTGGTTTTGTTCTGCAAGATTGTTCTTTTTCTAAACTGTAAATGTGAAGATCCTGTTTGTTTTCCTCTTTGCAGGAAAGACGCATGTAGGCCTGAAGATCGCTCGGGCTTTGCTAGAGAACCATGAGGCCTGGTCAAATGGTTGTCCTATGCTGGTGGTCTGCTATACCAATCATGCTCTTGACCAGTTTCTGGAAGGTACGGTGCTAATAACTATATCTGTGTGGTATTTATAAAACCTTGTTGCTTTTTTTTTTAGCTTTTTGTGGATAAAAGCAGGGAGAAACATGGGTAGGTCACAAATGAGATCTCTCAGTTGTTTCTAAGAGCCAACAATAAGATAAAATGGAAGGCAAATAATAAAACATGTCATGTGTCTCAGAAGAGATTTTCTTTTAAGCATTTAAGGGACTTTGAACTTTATGGCTTCTCCAGAGAGTTCATTCTAGTCCAGTAAAGGATAACTCTACAGCTTCATGTATGAAATAATGAGATATTTCATAACTTTTGTCCCAGGCATCCATGGATTTTTAAAAGAGGGCATTGTAAGAGTTGGAGGACGAAGTAACAGTGAAACTCTAAAGCCCTTCGGCCTGAGGGAGCTGACCAGGGCATCAAACTTCCGCAAAAATTTGCCACAACACCTGAGGAGAGCCCATCATGAAGTGAGTCCTCTATTATGGACATAACTCAGATTTCATTATGACATTTGTTTATTTTATTTTATTTTATTTTAGTTTAGTGTATAGTTTATACTAATCTATTATTCCTCAGGACTGTCAATAGAATAAAAATAATTTTGTAACCAGTGTTATTTTAGTATTATTGATATACTGTGGTAATTTTTATAAATATTTTATACTAGTTATTTTTGTTTTCATTTTATTTTTATTTGAAGTTTTAGTAAATTTGTGTTTTGTCATTTTGATATATATATATATATATATATATATATATATATTTTTTTTTAAAAATATGTCTAAATAGAATCAATTTATTTTTTGTTATTTTAGTGCTTTATTTAATCTAAACGAAAATGAGAAATGTTGCCTTAGCACATAGCTGAAATAAAATTTAATTTTATATTAGTTCATTTAATAGTTGCTTGCTATTATTATTATTATTATTATTGTTATTAATGATTTTAGTTTTAGTTAACCATTAAAAACCTGCTGTAAACACTCAGGTTTTGAATAAAAAAGTTTAAATTGACACAAGAGTGAATAAATTATGAAAACCCTCTTTATTTTTGAAACTGTTTCTAAAAAAGCATTAAATATCTGATTGATGTAATGTTTAATATATTAATTAGATGCAACGTTTTTATTAGTAAATCATTCTTGTAAAAATGGCAGAAGACAAATCCAAAAGTTGTCTGAGAACAGTTATGTGCCAGTTATGTTCTAATGGGTTGTGCTGTATGTCCACAGATCTACACACAGATGGAGGCTGCACAGGAGCTCTTAAAGAGACAGTCCGTTCAGCTGGAGTGCAGCTTGCGTGGCGTCCTTAAAGAAGACTTCCTGGAGAATTACATCTCTTCTCAGCACTGGGCCAGTCTGTGTCTACAGCCAGTGAGTGCCACACACACACGATGGCTCTGAAACGCTTTGCCACAGCTATCAGACATGCCATTCATAAATAGTGTATACAGGTCACGATGAAGCTATATTTTGCAGTATGATATTTTACCCTGAACATCTGAGCTAAACAACGGCACAAGCTAGTATGCCGTTTGATTTGATTCACTTTCGTCAATTATAATCAGACAATCATTCTTTAAACAGTGTAGTATGTTGCAATTCCCAATGAGACTGCATTTGGCATTCAGCAGCTGTGAATTTCAGACCTATAAATCTACTGTATCGTATCTGATATGCAAATTTCTAAGGCCTTTAAATTATCAACACAATCAAAACTTAGCTGTAAAACCTGTTACACAAAACCTGCTGCTCACAATCAACTCTGTGCCTTCTGTTGTCTGATTGGTAATTTATACTTTTAGTGTAATTGTACAAACATCCAGCTTCAGCTGGTGCTTCTCTTGTTTTTAAAGATTCCTTTAAATCCACCAATTGCACCAAGTTTCATATTTTTGCTCAGTTTCGGCCTCTGAATAAAACAGCAGTTTTCCCCCCCATATTCACACTATATCATACTACATGTGACCCTGGATCGCAAAACCCAGTCATAAGGGTCCATTTTTCGAAATTGAGATTTATGCATCATAAATAAGCTTTCCATTGATGTATGGTTTGTTAGGATTGGACAATATTTGGCCGAGATGCAACTATTTGAAAATCTGGAATCTGAGGGTGCAAAAAATCTAAATATTGGGAAAATCATCTTTAAAGTTGTCCAAATGAAGTTCTTAGCAATGCATATTACTAATCAAAAATGAAGTTTTGATATATTTACGGTAGGAGATGTACAAGATATCTTCATGGAACATGATCTTTATTTAATATACTAATGATTTTTGGCATAAAAGAAAAATCTATAATTTTGACCCATACAATGCATTGTTGGCTATTGCTACAAATATACCCCAGCGACTTAAGACTGCTTTTGTGCTTCAGGGTCACAATATGAACAATAAAAGCCTGTATCAAATATGATAGGCAAACCTGAAATATGTACATATGATTGTACTCAATAATTAGCAAAATCTTCTTTCCTTCTGTGTTAGGTGTTAGATGGATTTGAGAGTGTGGGGAAAAA